TTAATTATTAATACAAATATTTAAGATTATGCACGAATACAATTTTTTTGTCTAAATTTCTTATATAATTTTTAAATCTGGAATTTTGTAAAATATCAAAACTTTTTTCCTTTGTACAAGAAAACAAAAATGTTGACCCACCAAAACAATGAACCCCAAGAAGTAAAATCTAGCATCTATAGAACTTCATCTGGTCATTATCTCAACAATCAAGAAGAACTTGATGATTATATGATTTTTGGTATTTAAATCTAATATTCAAATCACTATCTTTAAAAAAAATATTGATGGAGAAAATACAAAAATCTCAACAAAATAATATTGAAAATTCACTCATAATTGAACTTGCTGAACAAATTTGTACTCAACAAGATTATTTACTAGAAATCACTGAAGAAAACAAAAAACTAAAAAAACATATTAAAAAAATAGAACATTCAGAAAACGAAAAAGAAAAAGAAATGTCAAATAAAGAATCTACATCATCATCATCTGACTCTCAAGAGTAAGTTTTTTATATTAAATTTGTAAAAAAAAAAATAATATCTAATTTATCCATATTTTAGAACAATAACACAAAGTCAAATAAATTACGATTTGAAAAAAGAAAAATCCAATAAATTTCTTTTTAGAGGACTTATAGTCTTTATCATAATTCTCTTATTTATAACTTGGTGGTCTTGGAATTGGATGCGTTATTATCAACGTATCATCGAAATAGAAAATAATAATATCAAAGATAAAAATAAATTAATAGATAGTTTTGTAGAAAGTTTATTAAGTTTAAAACGCAACAAAATAGCTACATAATTTTTCTTCTTGTATTTATATTTTTTTCTTGTAAATATTTTATTATAAATAAAATCTTTCTTAAAAATTTAAAATTTAAAATATATTTTTAAATCAAATCATTTTCCATTCATATTTCCTGTAATCTTATCATGAGCTAATTTGAATTTAATACAATCCTGTTTTGCTTGTTCAGAAGTTCTATTCTTTGTAACTTTAAAAGTTTTTACTTTGAATTTATTATTTTCAACCCATCCAAATTTCCATCTTTTACCAAATTTATCATATAAAACTCCATTATACCCTGATGTATTATTTGTTTTTAATTTACAATTTAATAAATTTTTTCTTTGAGTTGTTTCTCTAAGATTTATTTCTCTATTATCTGTTCCTTCTCTATTTATATGATCTATCATAAATAAATTAGGATAAACTAATCGATGAAATAGTAAAATTTCTTGTTTATTATTTTTTTGTATATTTGTTTGAATATAATTTATATTTTTATATTTACAAATATACCAAATATGTTGACGAAGTTTTATATAATTTTTAATATCGCAGAGAAATGTAATATCTTCTTTTTGAGTTTTAACTTCTAAGTAAGCAACTCCTTGAATAGTTACAAGTCGTAACTGATTATAAATTTTATATTTTCTATTATGATAGTTTGATTTTTTTTCTCCATGAAATTCTGAAATAATTTTGAATGATTGATGTATCTCTTTCCAAGGAGAATCATTTGTTTCTTATTCAAAAGACATTTTATTAGTTTCTTATATTAAATTTCTATTTTATTTATAAATAAGATAATTAATAATTCAAAATATTATAAACAAAACAAAAAAAAAAATAAAATTCTACTTGGTCGATCTCCAAATCAGAAAATACTATTTTCCATTCAGAAATCGAACAAGAAAAACTTTATTATTTCATCCTATGTGAATCTAAAAAATTAATAATTCTATTCAAATTCTCATTAAAAAGTATTTTTTTCATTTCTACTCCAATACTTTCTTTAAGTAATACAATATTCATATTATGTACTATATACGAATAATAACAAGAAATACCGAATAAAATAAAAAAAATAAGAACTAAAACAAGAAGAAATAAACATATAATTTTATATTTGTTGGTGTTCATTTCTAATTTTTTAATTCTTCTTTCATAAGTTTCGAAATGGTACATTGCTCTTTCACTTAAATAATTATTGTATTCTAATGAAAATTATATTAATAAAGTAAATAAATAATATAATTAATATTTAATTTTTACCTTCTTCGATTTCTGAATGGGAAATAGTATTTTGCGATTCTGAAATATTTTATTTATATTTTTATATTTTTTTTAGTATTATTTTTTCAATTAAAATAAAAAAAAAAAAAATAAATTGTAATTTTATACCTCTCCGTCTAGAATTTGGTGTTTCCGCAACAGCTTCTTCATATGTTGGTAGATTATCACCATCTTCAACTTGTAAAGATGAAGATCTACTTATGTTTGGAATACTAGATATTGTACATTGTAAAGACATAATTACAGTATTTAGAATTAATAATATTTGAATTTTTTTGAGATTTTTTTAAACGTTGAATTTTTTGTAAAATTTGTTGTTTGTTGAACAAACTCCTATATATCATAAAAATTCGGATAATCATAAACAAAGATACGTTCATACTATTCATTGGTTCATGCAAATAATTTAAAAAAATATGAGAAAACTCCTTATTCTAGATCAAGTAATCTCATAGTCATCATACTTTAGAACTTGATTTGGCTATATATTAATTTGATTGACTCCGTATTCAATCATCGTACATTATCAAATTTAAATTATATTTATATATAAATAATTTAAAATAAAATCTTTGTTTTTAATTTATTTAAAAATAACTCTTGACGTTCTTTTAATATCTCCTGAAAATCTTCTAAAAATTCCAACTCTTCAACTATATCTTTTAAATTTAAATCCTGAACTATTTTTAAATCTAAATCTTTTATAATATCTTTAAAACTATCACATTTAAATTTTTCAACAATTTTAATATCATTGACTAATTCATTCTCATGACATAAATAAATCCTATCATTATTACCAACTCGTTCAATAGCTTCTTCAGAAAAATACAAATTAGAAACTAAAAATTTAATTCTATTTTCTTTACTTAATTCATTTTCAAATTTCTTGACATCATTTTTTAAAATCATATAACCTTGTCTAAATAAACATTTAACATTTATATTGATACTTTTATAATTTCCTATCAATATATCATCTTGGACTCTCTTGATCTGAATTTTATTATTGATTAATAAATGTTTAACCAACAATAAATATGTTTTTTTTTTTTCTTCTAAAGAAAGCTAAAAAAAATAAAAAAAAATATAAGTAATCATATCTTGCTTTACATCATTTCATCCATGCACCTTGAAATCGGATACACTTCATCCTAATTTGACAACAATAACTTAACAAGATACGAATTTGATCATTCATGTAGTTCACTTTACACTTTTTTGTCAATGCACCTTAAACCTGGAATACATATCATCCTACTAAAGCAGCGATACTTTTGATAAAGTACATAAATGAATCACACTTAGTGAAAAACTCACATTTGAAAATTCTCCATTATAATAAAATATCGAATTTCTTTCTTTTATTTTTATTATTGATTTTTCTTTTATTTCTTGTCTTGATTTTAATGATGATTTTACCTTTGGCATTTTTTTTTAAAAAAATCAAAAATATTTAGTTATTTTATATTTAATATAATTAATAATAAAAATCATGAATTACTAATTCATAAATAGATAAATAATTTATATTTATTGATAATATATAAAAATAAATAAACAAATAAAAAAAAAATATTAACGTTTGAAACTTAAACAAATTTCACCACTGACAGAATCTCTAATCTCTAATAAGTTTAAATTTTCATATTTCATACATTCCTTAAATATTTTTTCTTCCAATTCTTTATCAAAAAAGATTAAATTCGAAGAAACTATCTTGAAATAGATCAAATTTTTCAAATTTTCTATTATAAACATAATAACATCCATATCATTAATAGAATTAAAGATAGAGAAATATCTTAAATTTTGTAATTTGATAATATTCTCTTTAAATTTTCGAATAGTTTCAAAAGTAATATCTTTTAACTCTAAATTTGTAATATTCTTGATCTTGTTAAAAATATCAAAATCTCTAAATGATAAATATATATACGATAATGCTAATCTCTTTAAATTTTCAAAATTTTCAATATCAAGAAGTCCAGAAAAACATAAAATTATATAATGAATAGTTATATAAACCTTATGATTTTTCATATAATTATCTAAAATTTTGTTATCAACAATAGTATTTATATAAACATAATTAATCATATCAGATGATTTAAATAATAAATCAAATACATAAGAACTCATCAAAATTTCGCCTTCAAATATCTTCATAATCTGAAAAGTATTTACTTCCTTGACATATTTCAGATA